AAATCAAACTGGGTAGGGGCAGCAAGAACTGGGGAGAATTCTATATGTTGTTGAGTGTGAATACCCCCTATTTATAGCCTTCTTTGGATCAGCCTCCTAATCCAATTAGGAGAGAGTTTCTTGATCCAAATCTGATATTTGGATCTGGACTCTTAAATGAATAAGACTCATCTTATCCTTCATCTAATCCTAATCAGGTTATAAATCAAATTCCACCCCCTTTTAATTGACTTAAGCCCAGTTTGGAATGGGCTTTAGGCCCATTAAGTCACATATCTCACTTACCCTTTAATCTGCTGGCTAACTTAACTCTTTTTGTATGGCATGGTACCCTAACATCGATCTACACATCAGCCACATGGATTCAATCCAGCCTCTGTTATAAGGCCTAGCCGAATTCACTATAGGACACAGTGAACCCATAAGTCCATCATCATCGACTCTTAATGGGCCCAACATTTATAGTAAATGGTCCTTGGGTCCAGCCACCTTATGAAAATCCAAGGACTGTGGGCAGATACAAGATTAGCCTATCAGGTATTATTCTTAATGGTTTTACACTTAACATCTCAACCGTTAATGATCAAACATTGTCTAACAAGAGAGGACCTCTCCCTCGGCTACAAGGTATAGTATTGCACTCTCTACTCACATGGATCTCGGGAATTAAAACATTTTGCAAACAATTTGAAACCATAATATATAAGTATATCTCTATATAAATATATTTTGCAAAACCAAATTTCAAACATATTTGAAATCCACTACCAACAGTTTAGGTTTCCATCAGAGAAAGTGCATTCCCTAATCATTCACTTTGTCCGACAAAGGGGCTGATCCTATCACTATGATCACCCACTTAGATGAATTCTCGGACTGTCCCAACATACCTAAGTTTTAACCCCTCTAAGGATCTCACTGATTGGCAAAATAACCTAATCCGACACCTAGTGTAGTACAATAATCGAGTCTAGGGGTCAGGTGTAACATTCTAGTTTTTTCCATCTATATCCAAGATCCAAGGCAATACTGGAATTTGGTCCGATTCAGGGTTTCAAACAAACCCACACTACATGTACCTTAGGTCTCACCCTAGCAACTGAGATAAGCCACCCCAACCAACTTGGCGGCACATCAGTGTCAGACTCGACAGGATAAATCTCCTTAAATCTATCCAACGGCTGTGAAGATTCTAAACTAACACGAGTCTCATAAGTGTCCAATTTAAGGGTATTACATAGAAACACACCAAATCACATGAATTAATTATGCACTTTTATTCATTTATAATAAATGTCATCAAGTACATCAATCTGATTGGAGCTAAGGGAATATACTGTCTAACACCCTTGACTGTAAGGTGCAGTGTTGCACTCTCTGCTCGGATAGGTCCTAGGAATTAAAACATTTTACAAACATTTTTCTTGAAACATATATATATATATATATATATACATTATATATCATATCAATATATTTTGCAAAATAAATTTCAAGCATTGTTGAAATCGACTGTCGGCAGTTTTGGTTTCCATTAGAGAGAGTGCAGTCCCGATCATTCACTTTGTCTGACAAAGGGGTTGATCCTATCACTATGATCGCCCACTAAAGTGAATTCTCTGACTGTCTCAACATATCCAAGTTTTGACCCCAAAAGGATCTCATTGATTAGCACATCAAAGACAAGCCGATCCGACACTTAGTATAGTACCATAATCAAGTCTAGGGGTTATGTGTAACTTTCCAGTTTTGCCCATTAGTCTCTAAGGTCCAGGGCATATCTGGAAAATGGTCTAGGTTCAGTGCTTCAAACAAACACATATTACATGTGCTTCGGGTCAAACCCTAGTAGCTGAGACAGGCTGCCCCAACTTCTTTGGAAGCACATTAGTGTCAACCTTGACAGGATAAACTCCCTAAGTCTATCCAACGGCTGAGAACATTCTAAACTAACACGAGTCTCATAAGTGTCCAGTTTAAGGGGTAAATGCACAAAAACAGACTAATGATAACATAAAACAATTATGTACTTTTGTTCATTTACAATAAATGTATATGTACATCAATCTAATTGGAGCTAAGGGCATACATTGTCTAACACCATTATTTCTCTCTTTTTCTCCTTTGTTATTCTTCTCTCCCCTCCTTCGCTATCCTTCAACAATTGTTGTCATTGTCCTAACCAAATTCAAGCTACTGTTTTGTTCAACAATAAGCTTTTGAACCAAATTTTGTCATTTTGATATTATATTGCCTTCTATTGTTCCCCAATCACCATTAGCACCCGATTTATACTCGGTCCGCTACCTGAACCTCCAATTTACCCCAAAACCTCCCATTAGACCCTCCTAATCACTTTGAAATGTCGGAAAAAAAAACCCTAAGAACCCGAATTTTACCTTGAAAAACCCTCAAGTTCATCATCGAATTTACTCAATACCAATCCAATGGCCTCGATCAATACCCGTATACACTTTTACCCTCAAATCAAATACCACCATCAAACTCAAGACCTCTCAAAATACCTACTCATAAAATTTTAGCTCAACATTCCTCCATTTACCCTTTCATCAAATAAAGATTCCATTCTGATGCCTTTCGTTAGTCTAAACACTTAGAATCCATATTCCCTTGATTTTAACACATCGAAATCAATCAAACCACACCATTAAACTTTGGACATACCGAAGCACTTGCCCATAAAGTTTTAACCCAAGATTCCCATATTTACCCCTCCATCAAACCAAGATTCCATTCTAAATTCTTTCATTGACCCAAATTCCTATCATATTGATTCCCCTGAACCAATCAAACATGACCACCATATCACAGATACCCTAAAATACCCACCTATAAAATTTCAACCCAAAATACCCTTGTTTACCCCCTCCATCGCATAAAGATTCCATTTCAAAGCTCTAAATCAATCGCAAGCCATTTTTCTAAATCTGCCCGATCCAAGTCCATTTATCCCAATCTGTCCTCACCAATCAAATCAGAACCTCCAAAAAACCCTATCCTACCAAATTTCAACCAAAAATACCCCGTTTACCCACTCATTGAGAAAGATTTTGTTTTGGTCAATCTCATCCACACACACAAAATCCTTCTCAGCAATCAAACCCATTTCAACTCTTCACATTTTGGCCCAAAAATCTTAGCTAGACCAAATTACACTCGATTTTGCAAAATTATCAAACTACCATCAGACCTCAAAAATTACAAAAATCTCATTTTAACGTATACTTAAACTTTTTTCTTTCACTCGAAAGATAGAACAGGAATTTTCGAAGGGCTACTATTCACTCCCTTCCTTCGAACGCAAAACTAAGGAGCTACGGCGATTCCTCTCACCACTGATCTCTCCCTCTCTCTCTCTCTCTCTCCTCTTCCTCCTCTTTCTCTTTTCTTCTTCCTCCTCTCCTTTCCCTCGCCATCGGCGATGGAACACCAGTCATTATTCAAACACTCCATTGGTTCTATATTTAAGGGAGATGCAAGAATCAAAAACTGGAAGAAGGTTATGCCTTCGGTAGAAGCTGCAACAACTATTCATTCGACCATTGTCCCCCAAGCACACACAAGCACAGAATAATCAACATCTTGGTTGAGTTAACGTTTCATTCGAATCTAGAGCTTTGTTACAGAATAATTGAACCAAACAAAATAATCAACATCTCTCTTTCTCGAATGAGCATATCTTCTTCAATTTCGTGAGATCAAATCATAAATCAACAAAAATGGACGAAAATCTCTTGTCCGAAGTAAATAAATAAGAAAAGATCAATCTCAATCTCTCTCAACCTCCGCTCTCCCTTATTCCACCATCCAACAACGCAACTGCCACTGGTACACACTCCCGCCCCTCTCTCTCTCTCACTCAGCCTTCATTCTCCCCTGTTCCACCGTTTACAAGCGCCAATTGTGCCACCAATACACACTCCTGCCCTCCTTCCACCGTCCACCAACGGTGGTTGTGTTGTTGGTACACACTCCCACCCTCTCTCTCGACCTATACACACACTCTCTCCCTGTCTTCGACTTTCATAGATTTACAGCTATTAGACCCATTTGATTTCGACGCCACTTCTTAGCAACTTCCTCCGCCTCTAGTCCCACCCCCACCCCCCTTCTTTCTCTTCTTCCTTTCATCCCCTTGTCCACTTCGTTCTCAAACCACTTATTCTTAGTTACGAAAATAATTTGTAATGACAACAACAACCCCCTCCACCTCTCTTCTTGACACCGACTTCCATAGATTCATGGCTATTAGATCCATTTGATTTCGACGCCACTTCCATATCTAATGGTCGAAACCCCCTCTGACTCATGTCCCCCCCC